ACATAAAAGAAAATTTAGAAGGGAAATTGAAGTTCATGAAAATAATGATAGATTGACAGAAAAATTTGATATAAACAAAAAATGTTTGACTAAAACCATTTTTAAACGATTAAATTATTTCTCTAAATTCGCATAATTAACAGTAACAAAGATGGGCTGAAATTGAAAGTAGAACACAAAAGCTTGCTACAACTGCATATTTTAGATATAAACGTAGAGTTTAAAAACGTAAGGATAAAGACAAGTGTATACATCAATCCAACACACAGCTCATTATATCAGGTCAGTCCATAAGTTCGTGCGTATTCTATGACCTTGAGAAAAATCTTGTTTTGCTGTTAAAAATGCCAATCTAATGTGATACTTTTTACACTGAAGTGTTAAATTGGATTTCATTTATATAATACTGTTCAGAATTGGGAACATTTCAGTTTGTTTATTTTCGTTAAAATGGAAGTAACAGATGAATATAAGAGACATGTTTTATACTTTTTATTTTTAAGTGATGAGAATGCTACAAATGCAGCCAAAAAATTAAATACTGTTCATAATCAAACTGTAATTAGTGTAAGGACTGCGCAGAAGTGGTTTGAAAGATTTAGAAATAAGGATTTTAGTGTGGAGGACAAGGCTCGTACTGAAAGACCTGTTGACTTTGATGATGATGCTCTCTCTGCACTAGTTGAAGCAGAACCATCTTTAATAGTTGATGAAATTGCGGAACGTTTAAATTCGTCTCATGGAACTGTTCATAGACATCTACCACAAGTTGGAAGTTTCAAAGCTAGGAAAACGGATACCACATAAATTGTCAAAAGCTAACTGACAACAACGTCAATTGCTCAACTCAAAAGCTTCAACTTGGAAATTTTATTTCATCCACCATATTTGCCAGATATTGCTCCAAGTGATTATCATCTTTTTCAGAGTTTGCAGAATTTTTTAAAAGGAAAAACTTTTGAGGATGAGAACAATGTAAAAAAGGCTATTTCTGGATATTTTGATTCAAAACCGAAATCATTTTACAAAGACGGGATTAAAAAGCTACCATCAAGATGGCAAGAAATAGTACAAAATAATAGTGAATACATTATAGATTGAAATAAGATTTAATTAAAATTTTTTGTTGCTTTTTTTGTAGATAAAAATGTGCACGAACTTATGGACTGACCTGATACATCCCTTACAATTCGAATGATTTTTATATACCAGGTTGCGGCATTCCGGACACTTATTAAAAGAGCTTTATTATATTGAGGGAATGTAATAGACAGAATGAACGAGCTGAACAGAATTAAACAAACAGCCACCAAACTAGGATATGAAACTAACTCGATAGAAGGTCTGATTAGACGGTTTGAGGATACAAATCTAAAAAAAAAGTGAAATCATGAAATTCATTTTAACAGAGGTATAATTAACATCACGAAATAAATCGTAAAACATAAAGGGTCCAATATGATTATAAAAAAGCCACAACTATGTATCGAATATTACGAAACAAAAAGAATAAACTAGAAACCAAAGAAATGGCAGGTGTGTACAGGATACAGTACGAAAAAATGCAGTTGCGAATAGACAAGGATTACTTCGGTGTCACTACAAAAAAACTTGAAACTTTGACTCAAAGCACATCAATGTAACATGAGAATGGCATCCGATAACACGGTACTCTCCTGAATGGTGCAGACTGAGGGCTTGGTGATAAAATGAGAAGAGACTAACATTATTTAGTATTTGCACCAGTGGTACGCAGTCCATGGAAGCTGTGGAAGCGACGTTCCCTTTGTATTCTTTAATATATAATATTTTTAGTACGCATGAAATCGTGTTGGCAATTGATTTGCAACTTGAACACCAACTATATAGTGTATTCACTCACACACATGGCAACTTTAATTATTAATTTTTCTTTACTTACTAAATAATTCAAGTTGCAAACTATAGTATTTTATTATAACCACATAATCTATTTTATTACAAATTCCTATGCATGTGAAAAACAATGATAAGTTTGCTATTGTATATTTGAATATAAATTCGTATACGCATATTCCCAATGGAAGCGCCGTATTGTCAAATACGAGACAGCTCCCACGGACAAAATATTTGAATTGTGTAAAGCAGCCAGATTATTTTACTCATTCGCGCATTACAGAGCCACCTGATTTATGCCCTTTAGCTCGTGGATGCTACATACCAAAATTTCGTATAACGCTTCCAATGATTAGGTTTTTTTATAATTTTAATGGAAACACAGCATCCCTCTCATCAAATATCATTGCACGCCACTGTTGCACACTCGCCTACGTTAACACAGAACGCTGAAAAACTTGAAATATACAAAAGCACGTTGAAAGGTAATTGCATTAAAGCAAAAGATGCGGACGGTTTACCAGCGGCATGAAAGTACATTCAATAAATATTAGTTTGTGGGAAGACCAAAATTACTTCATTTCTACTGCATCTTTTTGTATATTTTTGAGTTACTTATTATACATTTTACTGTTACTCGTTATATATATTAATTTTTAGTTATTTTTGCTTTATATTCAAATACTTAAAACATTATTATTCTTTAATTGTATTTAGAACAATATTTAACGGTTAAGACGTTCCAATGAAATTACAGCCTGAAGATGGCCTATTAAATGAGGTTGGAAATCTTTGCTAAATGAAAGCGATTCCCAGGATCCAAAAAGATGATTATACACTGATTTTGAAGTATTCTACTCAGATTGGAATAGTTTATTAAATTCCCTTTCTATTTACAAATGATTCCTCATTGTATTTAACAGCTGGAAATGCGTTGATTGCAATATGAGTCCAATCAAGGGATTTCTTTACTTATTGCAGCAGGTATTCCTCTTGCAATAAGTAAAGAATCGTGTTTGGAGAGTTGCGATGATCTCCGGAAACGTGACAAATCATTATTCAATCAGAGACCAGTTTGAGATGTCGACACTGTCTCTCAGAGACGAGAGACGATGACCAAAATATGGCCCCTGAATTTATCACTAATCCTGCGATCACATGCTAGTTGTGTCAAGTGCGTTGTCTTGGCCATTTATATATTTAAATTTACTACGAATAGAATACATAGTCGACTTAAACTAATAATTGCTATTTTCTATTCTCACAAATGTTTATTCACTCTCGTTTACTAAACGTGTGTGTATTTGTTTTTTTAAATTCACATCCCGTGCCCAATACAACACGTGGCGATGTAAAAACTACGGAAGCAATTCGGATTCTATTTTTACCAAGAAAATGTAAGCAAAAGTAATTGTGGAGATAATTATAAATAATAAATAAATTTTTGGTAAAAAAAATAGTTTTTGCAAGGTGTTCAGCATTTATCTAATCGCGTGGCACGTGGTTTTCCATTGATATATTAACTGTTGTAACACTACGTTACGGGTTCTCAAACGAAACTAGACACGTTGTAAACAAAACAACGTTTGTTTAAATTGAAAATATACAGTCAGATAGCACAGTACGAGTCGGCAGAGATCTTCCGTCATAAAACCCATAAACGTCACCTCCTATCCTACCCGCTATGATGGGAATTCCAACCAAACTGCCAGCTTCTATTTACCTCGCTAGAGGCACCCTAATAGTCACAATAACTCTTAACAATACAATTTTGAGAATTGTTGAAACGAGTTGTTTATTTGAAGTGATTGTTGGCGGTTCAAAGTTTTTTGAAAGCGATTGAATTTTGAGAAAATGAGTGGAATAAGTAAGTTAAATCGTCATATTTCGTGTTTAATTACATTAGTTGTTTCATGGCAAGTCCTTAAGTGAAATCAAAACAATGCTTCAATGCTAATTTTTGTGGCATAATTTTCGAGATTTCAGGCTGCCTTTCGTGATGCTTATTTGTAAAAATTACTTTACTAAATAAATACCCGATGGCCTTTAATAGATAAAGATACATTAATTTTAATTGTTATAATTATTTTTACTTTTCCGATGTTATAAATAACAGAGGGGGAAAGTACTGTGTTTGATTTTCCCAATATGTTTACAATGTTGAAATAGGAGGGACTGTGACACATCGAAAACTGCAAAAAATAATAATGAATAAAAATAAAATAAATAAAAAAATTTGAGTGTTTTTCTGTATGCCTGGAAGATAGTGTATGCGTATGGGGTACGATTTGATTCATTCAGTTCACAGCATAACTCCTGTGCTTTTTGTCGAAAATTTCTCAATGCTTTCAGCGAGGTTTGTATACTATACTCACTGAAGCTATTATATTTTAATGGATAAAAGCCCAGGGTGTGAGAGATTGAGGAGTTCGTGTGTCGTACGCCTTGAGCAATTGGACCTAATGAGGATTTTATTAGTCAAAATTAAGCTTTTGCCATTTCATAATTATTAATAATATAAAACGATTCTTAAAGAAATATTTTAACAGACGGCAACTGACAGTTTTAAAAGAGGTTGCCGGTAAATGTATTCGTAGTTTACTGTATCATTAATACAATAGGTGTGTTACGAAAATACATAACTTAATTGTGAAATGTTCGTTCACAGATTTCCAAAGAGAATTTTTTCGGGGCAACTTGCCTTTTCCTAGCAATTCTTATTTTATGGATAATAATCAGGTGAGTGTATCAGAAAATTATAAATTATATCTTTTTACTTTCATCAAAAGAAAACTCAAATAGCATGTCAAGAAAATTTCGTGTTAATTGTACAGAAGGAAAGCATTGCTTTTTCTTTAAACTTTTGTATTAATTCATTTACATTGCTTCACTCCTCAATTATTTGAAAACAAAAATCATCACTACTTTTGTAATTTGGAGAATATTTTATTCACTTAAAATAATTGTTGTCAGTTAAAGATTAAGTTAAAATTTTTAACAATATTGAAGTCTACAAGAACATTTTTAAATTTAAAGTTTAAAGTTATAATTAAAATAGTTTTTATTAATTTTGTGCTTAAATTTCAGTACATCGGTTATGGGTCAACTCCCAGAATGGTCAGAAATGTACGTTTTCCTGAAAGAATTAGGTATTTAGAACCTTATGGAGTGATAGTTTATGGGCCACCTCCTGAATTCACTGGAAGTGTGCTTTCTCCTAAGGTAATTTATTATATTTCGCCTCGTGAACAGATAGCATATAGGCCACCTGGAATGATAGGAAGTGCGCCTCTGCCTGAAGGAACTAGTTATGGAGCGCCTTATCGCCTGATCGTTTTTGGGCCACCTCCAGGATTGAAGAGAAGTGTGCGCTTTCCTAATATACTGTATTATGTTTCGCTTAATGGACTGTTTGCTTACGAGCCACCCGCTGGAATGATCGGAAGTACACCTTGTCAAGTAATCGGTCATGGGCTGTCATCCAAAATGGCTGTGGCTGAGGAAGAATCGGAGCAAGAGCTTCCTACTGGTAAATATTTTGCATATTGCAATAGAAATAGATGGATATAAATCTCAAGCAAGTATATTAGTATTTACATAAACAGTCACATAACATCCGACAAGATCATTGACACAGAGGATAGATACACTGTGTATTCTTGAAACCTATGCTAGGGTCTTTATCACAGCAGAGCCAGAATCTATATACAGTAATAAAATTGATAATTTGAAGTTTAGACTATTTACAAAAAGTCATAATTAACTTTTGAGTCCATCTTTATTTTTATTACACTACCATAGAAGTAACAGTCACAAAAAATTTCTGCTTTGAAGAACTCTTCTTAAAACACAGGTAAAAAATTCCAATGGTTAAAAAAGATCAAGTGTTAGCCTTTCTCTGTAGGTTTCTGACACTTATTTCTGACTATCCTTATTACACTGTAGTGTAATAAGGATAAAGATGGACTCAAAAGTTAATTATGACTTTTTGTAAATAGTCTAAACTTCAAATTATGAAGAAATAAATCCTGAGTAATCACAATAATAGTAATAAAATTGTTTCCACTGTCTCTCTGACAAAGGCTAGAAAAATTTACCCAAATAATTAAAAGTTTATTTTAAAAAATATAGTAAATCAAAGCAGTGTTTTATATTTGTAGGATCTTCGATCAATGTTCCTGTCTCTGGTTGCTAATATATCTATCATTTAGATTTTTGATTTCGTTACATATTTAATTAAGGAAGTAAAATGTCATGGAATTAATTTTTCAATTCGACCACCAAGAGACTATTTATACTCGAAATGTTATACTGTAGTTTTTTCAATATTTTAACATTAGTGGTCAGTGACCAATGTCGTATTGTAATTCTTGACACCCTAACAACATTTCCCGTCGTGGTTATACATAGTTATGCACTCTGCATAACTAATTAGAAATAATAAAACGTCATACATAAAATAAAGAATGTCTTTAATAGCAGCAAATTCTTTCAAATATTTGACTACTTATTTGCTAAATTTATTCACGGTTGTTTTGCAGTTTTTCATGTTATAGAAAACTAGGTTTTGATTTTGAACTTAATAATGATTAAACTACTAATTTAAGTGATCGTTACAGACTGAAACACGGATTGCGTTTTTATTATTTAGAAATTTAAAATAAAGATATTTTATTTTGATTTTGAATTTTTATATTTTAGATTCGGAACGTGAAATTGAAGGAGCTGATGAAAGTAGTGTTCAAATGACACAAATGTCACCAATATCTCAGAATAATTTAGAAAGAGAAATTTTAAGCGAATCAGAAGGCGGAGGCAAATGTGTCCACAGAAACAAATTTTGAAATTTCTGATGAATTTTCTGTTGTAAGTTTAAAGTTAATTTAATTATTTTTTAATTTTTTTATCATTTGAAAGTTTAAATTTTGTACTTATCAGGTTGACAAACCTGATAAGTGCAACTTTGCTATATTAACACCAGAATATACACATACATTTATTTATTCAGGACAGTGCTGAACAAATAAGAAGACAAAATTTTAAATTTAGGAAAAACAACATGCAAAAGTTAAACAATTTAGTTAAATCAGAAGAAAGCGTGGAGAAAAATAAGAATATTTTGCCAGAAAAAGGATTCACGCAAAAATGTAAAAAAGAGGTTAGAAAATATTTTTCTGTTTGTCTAGGTTAAATTAAACACGTGTTTTCATCTCATGTTATAGTTTCATTTTCGACCACATTTTCATTTTTTAAATTCCCAACTCTATACCTACTAGTGCACACCCTCTATATTATCGTCAGTAAAGATTTAAATAACTGTTGAATATTATGAATCAAATTTAATATTTAATTTAATAAATATATTGAAATATTTTTTCAGAATTCAGATGATGAATCCAACTCTTACAATCAATTAAATAATTGTATTTCATCCGATTCTATTAAACCAGATGTCGAAATCATGACCAATAATGATGATGGACATGGTAGGATGATAAGTTATTGCTTTTAATTTTATAACACAACGTCTTTCAATTTGTTTTATAATTAAACAGTAAGAAAAGTCGTAAAATCGTCTGTATAAAAATGTTAACATAAAATTAGATAATGAATGTATCTTGCATTGTTAATGAAATTAGAGTGTAAGAATACTTTAGAATTTATTTTACTTAAGCAGAAGTTTCTTTGTTGAATGAAAAATATTCTAATTTTTGTTGTATCTGTTTAAATAAAATTTGAATTTTGTCACTCATTGAATCACCCCCTTCTTAAATTGCTGATTAGTATTCGAAATCTTGTGTTCACTTTGTACGAATAATGTAACTGCATGTTTGAGAAGCGTGATGATTCTTGTATAATTTATACTTAATGGCTGCATCATATATTTTACAAAGAGAAAAATGCAACACAGACACTAAACATACAATATTGTGTTTTTCAGAAATACTTTGGAGCGTAGAAAAAACCAGCACTCAAAATTTGAACAATTTTATTAAATCAGAAGAAATCGTAGGTGAAAATGAGAATATTTTGACAGAAAAAGGATCCATTGTAAAATTTAAAAGAGGTTAGAAAATATTTTCCTGTTTGTCTAGGTTAAAGTAAACACGTGTTTTCATCTTATGTTATACTTTTTTTTTCGACCACATTTTCACATTTTTCTATATGTTAGTCTGAATTAATTAAACTTTTTGTAATGGATTAATTTTCATTAAATTATATTTTTTACTATTTATATTTTATTTATTAAGATAAAATTTAAAATTATTNTTTAAGCGAATCAGAAGGCGGAGGCAAATGTGTCCACAGAAACAAATTTTGAAATTTCTGATGAATTTTCTGTTGTAAGTTTAAAGTTAATTTAATTATTTTTTAATTTTTTTATCATTTGAAAGTTTAAATTTTGTACTTATCAGGTTGACAAACCTGATAAGTGCAACTTTGCTATATTAACACCAGAATATACACATACATTTATTTATTCAGGACAGTGCTGAACAAATAAGAAGACAAAATTTTAAATTTAGGAAAAACAACATGCAAAAGTTAAACAATTTAGTTAAATCAGAAGAAAGCGTGGAGAAAAATAAGAATATTTTGCCAGAAAAAGGATTCACGCAAAAATGTAAAAAAGAGGTTAGAAAATATTTTTCTGTTTGTCTAGGTTAAATTAAACACGTGTTTTCATTTCATGTTATACTTTCATTTTCGACCACATTTTCATTTTTTAAATTCCCAACTCTATACCTACTAGTGCACACCCTCTATATTATCGTCAGTAAAGATTTAAATAACTGTTGAATATTATGAATCAAATTTAATATTTAATTTAATAAATATATTGAAATATTTTTTCAGAATTCAGATGATGAATCCAACTCTTACAATCAATTAAATAATTGTATTTCATCCGATTCTATTAAACCAGATGTCGAAATCATGACCAATAATGATGATGGACATGGTAGGATGATAAGTTATTGCTTTTAATTTTATAACACAACGTCTTTCAATTTGTTTTATAATTAAACAGTAAGAAAAGTCGTAAAATCGTCTGTATAAAAATGTTAACATAAAATTAGATAATGAATGTATCTTGCATTGTTAATGAAATTAGAGTGTAAGAATACTTTAGAATTTATTTTACTTAAGCAGAAGTTTCTTTGTTGAATGAAAAATATTCTAATTTTTGTTGTATCTGTTTAAATAAAATTTGAATTTTGTCACTCATTGAATCACCCCCTTCTTAAATTGCTGATTAGTATTCGAAATCTTGTGTTCACTTTGTACGAATAATGTAACTGCATGTTTGAGAAGCGTGATGATTCTTGTATAATTTATACTTAATGGCTGCATCATATATTTTACAAAGAGAAAAATGCAACACAGACACTAAACATACAATATTGTGTTTTTCAGAAATACTTTGGAGCGTAGAAAAAACCAGCACTCAAAATTTGAACAATTTTATTAAAACAGAAGAAATTGTAGATGAAAATGAGAATATTTTGACAGAAAAAGGATCCATTGTAAAATTTAAAAGAGGTTAGAAAATATTTTCCTGTTTGTCTAGGTTAAAGTAAACACGTGTTTTCATCTTATGTTATACTTTTTTTTTCGACCACATTTTCACATTTTTCTATATGTTAGTCTGAATTAATTAAACTTTTTGTAATGGATTAATTTTCATTAAATTATATTTTTTACTATTTATATTTTATTTATTAAGATAAAATTTAAAATTATTTTACTGATTTTGAATTTTCCATTCTTCTTAAAATTTATGCAAACTTCATGATATATATCTAAAATTTTTGAAATAAATATAAATATTTTTATTTATGAAATTACTTTTTTTTTTTTTCAGCAACAGACAAAATGTGTGGATCTATTCTGTTACTACTACTGCAGAGTTTGGAGATTTTTCTCTTATGGAAAGTGAAAAGAATAATATTATTGATGAGAGAAGCAAATAATTCCGATAAAATAGTTTATTTCGGATTTATTTATTTTTTTTCTGATTTAGAAGAAGTTTTTCTTTAATTTATTTGTTGTTTGTTTGCATTAAAAAAAGAAAAAAGTTTTTCTTTAATTTATTTCTTGTTTTTTCTCATTTCAAAAAGGAAAAAACTTTTTCTTTAATTTATTTCTAGTTTTTTCTTATTAAAAAAAATGTCATATTTAATTTATTTTTTTGTTCTTATTTAAAAAAGGAAAAAAAATGCATAAAAGATTTTTATGTTTAATTTATTGATATATACTGTGTTTTATAAGAATCTTAATTTTCAATATCATTGTTTATTGTATAAAAAAAAGTTAATGTTTAATTTACTTATGTATATTCTTGTTTTAAAAAAAGTGTTATTTTTAATACTTTCTTTGTTTATTGTATAATATCGTCATTAAACTTTATTTATAATAGGCTTATGCCTTTTACTAGAGAGTGGTATTATTGTAACAAATTATAAATAAAAGAGTAACATAAATTATTTTAAGACAAATAGTCCAAAAGGATAATCTCTAACAACATAATCTTAATTTTGTTATATTTAACAAAGGAATAATTACAAAGATAGTATATTTGGTAGGTTAATAACAAATATTTTTGTGCGTAGTTGTATATATTATATATTGTATTCCTTTTAGCTCTATGGAAGAAAAAATACATAGAATTTTTATTATTTTTGGGGTTCAAAGCTTCGAGATTGTATCGTTTACGTGACTCTTGTGCCTTATTACAAATACAAAATAGCAGGGGCGTACCGTGATATTTGATGATAGGGAAGCTGTGTTTCTATAAGAAGCCGACTTCCAGGGGCAATCAGTTAATTCTTTCTTTAAATGTATTTTTAATAGATTATTTATCTGACGTGCTTAATAAATAAACAAGTTCAATATAATTACCTCTGTTATTAGTTTCAATAGGTTCCCTTTGCCCTCTAAATGCCAATTCTTGCTTTGATAAAAACATATAACATCTATTTATTTAGATATATCTATTAACCGTAACTATCTCGTTATAATTTTTAATATTTATTTTATATTATTTACTAACGTTAAATTTTATTATGCTTCGATTTCCAAATTGCTTCAAATACGAAATAATCGACGATTTTTCGTTGTCTTTTGCCAGCTAAATTGTCAAAGCCATTCTTATTCCACACACTAATTTCATTTGAAAATAGTAGACAAAGCCAACAAAACAATTTTTGCATTTTTATGCATCCTTAGAGCCATTTTATCGTGAAAATGTCGAACAAACTTTTTTTTTGAAGTGTTTATATTTAACTTAGGCATTGGCCTTTCTCTTTTAATAATGTTTTCTTTTTCATTATACGGTCTCGAGCCAAAACTTTTTTGAAATAAATTTTCAATATCGCAATCACATTCTAAATCGCTAGCCATAATATAAGGGCTAAAATTAAAAATAAAATTATAAAAACTTGTTAAAATAAAATGTGATCGATACACAATTATACATACCTGGTACAAAATATTCGATTGTTTGAATACAGTTTTGTGAAGAAACTTATAGTACATTAAAATAGCATAAGATATTGTTTACTTTTTAAATAGTAAAACAATCCACTTTGTTAAAAGTGCTCCCTATCAGTGACTTGTGGATGGAATCAGAGTCGATCTTGGTAGGTGTGCGGGCGTGCATGCATGCCAAATCCCGAGGGTGCCCATACCGATTGTCTTTTGTCGTATCACTAGTATATCTCAAAGGACTCGACAGGGTTGTTGCAAATTTGAAACGTTTCTCATCATAGCTGTAAAAATCTAAATAGGTTAAGCTTAATAGATTGTCCGTCTTTTGTTTTCTAACTAATTCGTTTTAGGACCAGGTGTCGTCCACGGAAATTTCCAAAATTTACAACTTTTCGGTCACTCTCATCGTACTGGAAAAATTTGNTTAAAGAACCAAGAGTTCTATGTAGCCGTACACACTCAAACGCCAAGCGCGCGTTTAACGCGCGTTGAAAAACGCCTAGTGTGTACAGGGTCTAACAATCAATAATCATTATAGTATCCTATAATTATAATACTAATGAATATCAGGTTTGTTACATAAAATTAGAAAGGCTGATTACAAAAAGTTTTTGCAAAATTATACAATTTGTATATCATTGTAGTACAGTCGACCCCCCTATAACACGGTAGATACGTTTCGTTTTTTATGAAATTGATGTTTTAGGAGACCTTGCCAATCACAGCCCAACACGTGTGAAGTTTACGGACTATGGCTTTTTGTAAGATTTTCTTCCATAAAATTAATTGATTCTAGATTAATTTGACTCAACATTTCCAAAACACATATAANAAAAAACTTTCCCTACTTTGCCTGCATATTCCTCCAAAAATCCAATCTTGTTCGGATATTAAAATCCTGCCTCTGTTGTACTTCCTAGTGCATAAATGTGCTTCGTCAACCTCTACCGTCAAACCTTTACCTCCAATTTTTTTATTTTCTAAATTATTCATCATCGTTATTACACACACTTCCCTACAGAAACTGTACCAGTCTATAGCCGTGGGTTTAGAAATGCTCGTATGTAGTGCAGCCTGTGTAACAGGTAATCGACAAACAAAACAAAAAGTTACTTTTAATACTTCTAACATGGTTAATTTTGTCCCCGAAAACCAAGTGTTTTCTAAAACTGAAATTCTATTATTACATTTTATTCCATCTACTCTATTATTACAAAACAATCTGTAACCAAATTTGGATGATTGATGCTTAGCAATTCTCATATTACCGTCACATTTTGGACATGGTATNAGATACGTTTCGTTTTTTATGAAATTGATGTTTTAGGAGACCTTGCCAATCACAGCCCAACACGTGTGAAGTTTACGGACTATGGCTTTTTGTAAGGTTTTCTTCCATAAAATTAATTGATTCTAGATTAATTTGACTCAACATTTCCAAAATACATATAATTTTTTGGGAATAATTTATATAAACTATGCTATAAACAAAAAATTGTAGGATTACATACCGAGTGTGCATTATTTGACATCGCCATTGCTTAAGCTTGTTTTCGTGGTGGAGCAACGCAGTAAATAGCAGGCATGATTTCTGATAAGTTATTTTTTCTGAGAAAAATTCGTTGAACTTTGGAGACATCATTAATATAAATAATTTTAATCGCCGTTGAATAAGAAATGTTTCTTTCACAAGAAATGTATAAAATTACAGTACTGTATTAGACTTACGGTACCTAATTTACATACTGACAGACGATAGTTAGCGTAAAAATCTCCGTAGCGTGGCGCCACGCTAGACGGCGGAAATTATATATTTAATTATAACAAAGTTACAATAAGTTAATATATAATTATATATACAGTACCTAATTTATATATAATTAATATATAATTATATGTACAGTACCTAATTTATATATAATTTATATAATACTGTCCAGACGATAGAAATCTCTCCGTAGCGTGGCGCTACGG